CTAATTATCTTATTAATCCAACACTACCCCACAACATGCCATCAAACCATTTATTGCATCAAATAAATCACAATAATATAATTAAATGGTAAATATAATATTCGGGGTGTTACATGTTCCACGTAGGGAAGCAGATGAATATAAGTGAATGATCTTAATTTTTCTACAATAATTAATTGAAAATCTGGAATGTGGATTCTAAGTTAGGTGACCCTCACCCACGATTGTGGAACCTGCAAAAATAAAAAACTCGTTGTTAGTTGGTTCAGAGGTTATTGGTGATGAACTTGGTAGGAAGGATTACGGTCAGATTCCCTGCAACTACAATATGGTAAGCAAAGGGCTTACTATGAGCATGTGCAAATAGCTGGCTTAATGTGATTGCGCCTGAATGAAAAAGGATGAAAAATGGGAAAAGTAAGTTAGGTTTAGGCATAATGATATGATACGGGTTGGTTTGTATAGGTAAGAGACTTATGCCCGCAAAAATGAAGAATTTTTTATTATGATGCCCTTGTTTTTGTAATTTAGTACCTATTGACATAACCTAGTTTAAAGTAGAGTCTTTAAGCCCATAGTAGATAACAAGTGTCACTGTTTACTTTCATTTTGCTTGAGGGCAAGCAATGGTTCAAGGATGGGAGAGTTTGATAACACCAAATTATATCATTTATTTGATTCGATTTGTGCATATTTTATTGTCATTTTGTTTTACTTATCCACTACTATGCTGGTATTTTATGTGTATTTCAGGTATTTAGCCATTTAAGAGTCATATGCATAGAAACGAAGCAAAACAAACGAAAAACGAAAGAAATGGAGTAGTTTGCACTCAAGGCGACCAACCTAGCATTTTCCAGGGAGGTAGCCACCAGAAGGATGATGTGTCCCGCATCTCAGCAGTCAAAAGACCTGGTCATGCCCACTTTGAGAAGGTGGTGTTCGCCATAGGGGGGTGGAGTTCGCCATCCTTTGAACTTCACTGCAGTTGAATTGGGCTTTTCTAGGTCTTCCCGCTCTCTCCATTTTCTCCTATTTTTCCTCACACGAATTCAGAAACTTCCACCAGCATTTCAGGGTTTTATTTTCATTATAAATAGGTCTTTTGAATTGAATTTTAGGGTATCCAAGCTTAGCACACTCTTAGGCATATATTTATCAATTAAAGCTATAACTCGTCACATCAAGGGGTTATAGCATTGTTGAGGGTCAAGTTTGTATTGAGTTTGAATCAACCTTTGTAGAAGTTTTAATCTTGCCGCCCTTTTATTTTCCGCATTCAAGTTTCCAGCAATTTACTCTTATACCAGAATAAAGTCTCTTCGGAGCAGGTTTTTATTTATCGCAATACATTTATTTTATCGTCTCTTTATCTAATCGCATGTTCTTCTTCTATTTTTAATCCAATTGCATGTTTAAAGGTTTAATCATTATGTCTATTATGCTTTATTTCAAAAACGAATTAATTATTTTATTGCACGTTACAATCATTTCTAGCTAAATTATAAGTGTTGGAATGTGAGGACCATCGATTCGACGGTACTCTAAATCGTTATTCTTGAGAAAAGATTATGAAATTGTTTTGGTTTTAATCACAACTTTACTAAACTTAATTCTTTTTGGTTACTTAGAAAGTAGAAACATTTATATGTCTGGTAAGATCGAAAGTCATCTGGTACAAAAAATTAAGATTGTTTAGTTTTAAGTTGATAAAAACTGCGAAAGCTCTTTGTTAATTAATTAGGAAGATTAGTATTTTAATAAAGTATTTTTAAACCTATTTTCAGACGCGTTTATGTGTTTAAGGTACGGTTGGCTGAGAAAATGCCGGGAACCCTTTAAAGTCTAATTTTTCAGTCAAAAACTACTTTTCGTCTGAGTAAAAGAAACTTATTTTTAAAAAAGGTATTACTTCTTTAAAGTAAAACACGCCTGGCACGCAACAGCGGACTGTATAAATTAGAGGCTAAAATCTGGTTCCGATTACGCAATAGCGACGATTCCTTTTTAATTAGTTCTTTTTCAAAGAGGAAAATATTGTCCCATAGGTAGTCCAATTTAAGAACAATAAGTGTATCAACGAATTGATGAGATCCACATTCCAGCATTGTATTTCTGAATTAATTATATTCTTTATTCTATTTAATTTTCCGTATCTTCAATGATTATTTTAATTGCCTTAGATAAATACTGTAGCAATAAATAATGATAGTTTGACTATCAGGTCTCTGTAGGTTCGACAGTCTTTGTATTACTATGATATTTTTCGTGCACTTGCAAAATACCCCATCATCCCCATCACTTTTGCAGCAACTCAGTCATACTTGCTCGCGTCTTCTGGCTCTACCAACGTCACACCCCTCCAGGACAGCTCATCGAATTTAAAGGGCTTACCAGGCTTGATCCAAGAAACCCATTTGGCCTACCCTGGTTCACCAGGTGGGTTTTAATTTCAACATTGTTTAGTTCACAATTACGGGTTCTCTGGTAAACCTGGATGAAATCATCAACATGTTCTATCGTCAACTTTGCAGCTTTTAATTCCGCCTCAATCAAAACGAGAGGGGCATATATACCACAATATGTTCCCCCTCTCTACCACCATCTAACATGAGAGCCTCAAAAGAGTCCAACAAATAAACCGTTTGGTCGAGAGAGTTCCTAGATACCCTTTTCAAAATCAGAATCATCAATCAAGGACTCAACTTTGTGGCCCTTATGTGCGTGAGCAAGAGGACGAGAATGTGAACTATTAGGTACCCCATTCCCGTAGCGAAAGAAACATCCCTCTCAGAATCACTCACTGTGTGAATAGGACTATCACTTATTTTGACCAAAGAATAGAAAATGTTAAAGGTAAAATGTGAGTTGAGAAGGATACTTGGACAAGCAAAGTTGAGGAAGCAAATGAATGAAGAAAGGAAAAAAAATTTAGCAAAGAGCTACAACTGCACGGGTAAACGCTATCAAGAACGAAGACAAGAAGACGCTTGCTACTAAGCGAATCAGATCAGTCATAAAAAGAGGTTGCAAAATCAATGGCTGGATTTTCTCTTGGAAATACAAACAAACTCGAGTGCACTATAAGTAGTTCCATGCCCTAACTAGTCTTTTCAACCCACGTGTCAAGAAGAAGCAACAAAATGTTTCAGTGATGGAAATGTATTTAATGGGTTTGTTCCCCACTACTATTTCAACTAACTCCAGACGTTTTACTTCTAGTTCAGATTAGATGACATCCTTGGAGTACGACAATTGTTAAAGAATTTTCCATCTCGCTAAGCGTCAGAAAAGTCTTGGGGAAAATTGTTTTGCGCCGGTCAAAGGCACAAATAGCCAAGGCTTAAATTAGCTCAAATCCACTCCACGTGATCCAAGATATAAAAGTCATCTCTCATGGAAAATAAGGTACACTTTTCTGATCTTCACTTTTCACTACAATCATCTTGAATCTTGAACTGACTTGAGTGTTTGAGTGTTAATCTTACAGGTCCACCCTCGCGTCACTGCTAATCTTGACTTGTCTGTTCATAATTAACTTATAAGTATTTTTTTAATGTTTAAGAATATTTTTGTTTAAAGAAAGTCAATAAAATTTAAAACATAAGTACATATTTAATGTAATTGTGGGAGGCAAAAACAAATTAATAGGTAAACTTGTGTTTGTGGGGAGTAATTTTTAATATTTTTTTGAATTATGATAATAATATTCATACATTGTCCGTGTAAAGTTTTTTTACATATTCAACTAATAGAAAATCAACAATTTATCATGTCATTAAACTTTTTTAAAATTAAAAATGAGATATAATTGGATACATAGTTGGAATTGATTGATAATGTATTTTATAAACTTTTTTAAAATTAAAAATGAGATATAATTGGATACATAGTTGGGATTGATTGATAATGTATTTTACATTGTCGGTGCATGACTTGTTTTCTCTTAAATTATATTCATATTTTAAGGGTGAAATCAGTCTTAAAATCAATTTTTCAAAAATAAATGACTGGAGAAAATTGAATTTTGAAAACTTTATTAAAAGGAATTTTTCAAAAATAATATGAAATGATGAAACTGATCAATTTTTCTGTTATTTTTTTTACCATTTTATTACATTTCTTCATTAAACGACTCTCATTTGAAAAGGAAAGGAATAGCTTGCACTTCAACAACAACAATAATCGTTTCTTTCAGAACATCATTGGAAACAACTCAACAAAGTTAAGTTCTTACAAGTTCGGATCAAAGGATATTTCAGTTTATAAACTCTTCTTCCGCTAAATTCTTCCACACAATATTTTACTTCACCCTTCTTGAGCTTTCACAAACCAAAGAGCAATGGAAGCACAAACCACAAAGCAATGCTTCCATGTCAGGACAAACCTATTTTTAGGGGCATTTTTAAGAACTCTGCGATATAATAACACAGGTAAAACATTAAGCAGAGGAACCATGCGAAATCATGGGAAGCAGAAAAAGAGGAAATGTGACAAACCTATTTTTAGGGGCATTTTTAAGAACTCTGCGATATAATAACACAGATAAAACATTAAGCAGAGGAACCATGCGAAATCATGGGAAGCAGAAAAAGAGGAAATGCGCCGTATCCCATAGACTATCTCCAGAGGAACAGCAAGAGGAGAACAGGAGAAGAAACATGAACGATTCAGCTAAACAATTTTAGCAAGTTCCTCTATTCCCACTTGGTCTGATTTCACCAGCATTGTAGCAAGTTCAACTGAGTTTGAAAGGTTCGTGCGATCCTACGCGTCAACTAGCTATTCATTGCAAGTAGACTGTACTATAAATATGTCAATTAGCCTCTTATTTGGTGTGATCTCATTGTATAAACCACAAAAGCTTACTGTCTCCATACATCTTTTTCATAATTAAGATCGTTTTCCTTAAATATACATATATATAACAGACAACATTTGGTGCAGATTTTCAATACCAACATAAAATTTAACCGTTATAGTAAATATTACATTTACATTCAGAAGGAAACGTCAGCGTCAACATCCGTGTCGGTCACTTCTCTAATAACATTTTTGGGAGAAGGCAAACCGGCTGTAACCTCCTCTTCAATCCCACATTCATTTGTCCCTCTCCTGATCTTGAAGTAACCATCCTGCAGTGTAGTAGATTAAATTAGTTCATTAGCAAACACATATCTTAAATAACAACTATTCAAACTGAAGAATAGTTCAAGCAACATACATCTCCCCAATTTGTATTCCACTGATTTGCAAGAAGCTGAAACAGTGAAAAATACAGGATCAGTATATTTAAAATTCTGTACAAAAGCATGTATTTAATTGATAGTGTTGTTGTCTAAAATCGGGAATAAGTTACTATATTGTCAGCATACCCAATAGTCCTCCCCTTCATCACTTGTTCCCCACCCAATCAGCTTTACTGCGTGACCGCCTAATGCAGATCCTGTGATGTGTTTGTAAACTCCTGATTTGTAGTGAGCAAAATCCTGTCAAGAGATCAAAGGAGTCAAAGGTATGCAGTAAGGTCTGATTCATAATACTAGTTTTTAACTTAAAAAGTTGTATCTTCTATCCTATACTTAAATCAATTTGCATCCTCAAAGCACAAGAGATGTCAATTGACCCCTTATTTTAAAATGAAATGAGTAACGAAAACCAAGGGAAAATTTGAAAAGATAAGTAATGAAAGGAATGTAATACAGCACAAATCTAATGTGTTAAGGAGATATAAAGCATATAGGATAATATGGCACAGAAGGAAGGACAATATCAAGACAATGGGAAACTGAGGTTGTTGAATGCCACAAACCCAAACAGAAGTAACGAACACATATCAACTCATGCTTGCAGTTTGACATTTCTTGATTCTTAGCATACTAGCCTAGGATGGTGATGTGCTTTCAAAATTTTGACTTGCAGAAGTGGAAAAAAGATGTCAAAAGCTTTCATTTACCTCATAAACACTGAATGCAACTTCAACCGGCCCGTTCTTATAAACTTCTTCCATGATATTTTGGGGATCAGAGCTGACCTTATATGCTTTGACACTATAGTGCTTTGACTTCTTCCAAAGCTGGTTTCCCTTTACACACTTTCTAACGCACTTGGGAGTTTGATATCCTGGCTCACAACCAGGATGAGAACATCCAATTTGATCAAAGTATGGGTCACACTGTCGCATGTAAAAAACAAATACAGAACATAAGAAAGAGTCTAGGATTTTAGTCTCTAAGCAATGAAGAGAATGAAAACTTGTTACCTCTTCAGTGACAACACCATGGTGTGCTAAGTATCGCCATGCAGCAATGGGATACCCACCATCACAGCCAGACCCACAAAGAAATCCACAACATGCAAGAAGGTCATTAACAGAAAGGGGTACATCCTGCAATTGAACATAAAGGATGTTAGTTTTTTCAATAGGTCAAGTCCCTCGAGTAGGTGTGTGCATAGGGAGATTGGTCTAGAAACTTTGGGTAAATATTCACAATTAAACATTGCATATGCGTTTTTTATTATATAAATTTCAACTTCTTTTCATAAGCTATTATGGAGAATTTATGGACATGTCATAAATTATTTTCAGAAATTCTCTAAAACAGTTTCACAAGTGCTTATGTTAGTAGATAAGTTCAAATAAGTTAATCTAACATATTTTTATTAGAAAAAGTTTCCAACTTGCTTCAGCAAGAAGTTTACTTACCAATCCAAAATGAATGCAAAAACGGTCAGATAATGATTCAACAGCACCAAATGCCCAACAAGAACCACAGTGACCCTGAATCATAATCAGAACAAGGATCAGATATAAAAATTAAAGGTCAAAGAACCACATTGAACCCAAGCATAAGAAAAGTCGCTAAAATGAGGAAATTATTAGTGAATTACCTGATCTTCAGTGAGGAAATTGGTTCAGCAATCAATGTTATTATCAATAAGCAAAAAGAAGAGTCAGCGCCAATTGCAAAATGCATTATTTCATTATATTTTAAAAAGTAAGGAGAAGAAGCGATTGGGTTACCTAGAATTCTTCCAATAGTGCTACACTGAGGCCAAGCTGTCCTTGCATCAAACTCCTTTGGCAAGTTTGATGATTTTGGATGAGTTACAACAGGTATACTATTAAGTAGGTTCTTAGGTGTTTGTTTGACTCCAAGAAGGCGTTTAAATTGTCCAACCTATATGTGCATCAAACACAACACCTTTCATACTCAAAACATGCAACTATGCGCAAATGAAAACTTAAATACACTTTAAAGTGTAATGAATTAAGACTTAAATATAGTAAGCCAAAAAAATAACATGAAAACTTACAAATATATTAATTTTGTCCTATTAAGCTTTTTTATTTTATTTTAAGTCCTAAATGGTTCAACACTTTAATTAAGGGCTCGTTTGTTTTGACTTTTTTAAAAGTGATTTTTATAGTGTTGCATAATTTAGCGTAAGAAATTTACAAAGAAACTTTTCATAAAAACTTCAAAAAAAAAATTAGTTTAAATAGTTATTCTTAAAAAGTTATTATTGATATTTCATCATTTTATTAAAACTTTTTTTGGATATCAAAATTTCAAAAAAATCATAATTTTGAAGTTATTTCAAATAGTTTTTCTTAAAATAATTTTTAAGATACAACTTTTAAAAAAAATATGATTTCGATTATGTTTTGATATTCAATAATATATATTTATATTATACGATGTCAAAAATGATTTTTCAAATTAGAAAAAACGAATATAAAATAACATATAATATTTTGAAAAAAAAGTTTTATAAATCCATTTTTTTTATAATGTAAACCAAACTGCCCTAAATAAGTGAAGTACCTAGACATAAGTGAAGTACCTAGAAAGCATAAGTTCCATTTCTTTAAGAGCTAAAACAAATTGACTCTAAATAAGTGAAGTATCGGGGTCATATAGCTGTTGGAAATCCACCAATACTCTATGATGAATTTCGACCACCACTGATGATTAGTTATGAAACAAACTAAGAAAAGACAATAGAATTATTTCTGCAGAGTTTCTCTCTGCCCACAAACTGTGGAAACTTTATTAATTCACTTTGCAACTGCAAAATACTGTGAATGAGTTCAATGACTTGAATACAAAATAAGGGTTACTCCCTCTTATTTATAGATTTAGGTTAGCTTGCTCCCTAAGCTAAACCCAAGCCCAAAATATCTCTTTACTAAATCAAATCTAATCTAGATTTAAATTCAAATCTATTTAAATCTAAACAAATCAAATCTTATTTTGACACCTATGAATTACAATTTAACACACCACCTAATTCATTGTGTCTAAACTGTCTATGTTCATCATGACCCTTAGCTTTCTGAATACTTCGACCTGTACTCCCTTTGTCATGATGTCTGCAATCTGATTCTCAGTTCTGCAGTGTTCCAAATTCATCTTCCCATCTGCTACCTGCTCTCGAAGATAATGGAACCTCATTTCGATGTGCTTACTTCGACCATGTGCTATTGGGTTCTTTGCCAGGTTGATAGCTGACATGCTGTCTATCTTCATGGTAATTGCTCCATGATTTTTCCCTGTTATCTCTTCGACCAAGTTCACCATCCAGGTTGCTTGGCATGCACAAAGAGAAGCAGCTATGTATTCTGCTTCACATGATGATAATGCCACTACTGGTTCTTTTCTCGAACTCCAAGCAATTGTTGCACCACCTAGCATAAACACATATCCTGCTGTTGACTTTCGATCTTCAGCATCACTACACCAACTCGAATCAGTGTATCTCACTAGCTTGCATTCTTTTCCTTTATCAACTGCAGGAAACAGAATGCCATAATCGAAAGTTCCTTTGAGATACCTTAGTATCCTCTTCACAACTGCTAGATGTGATACCTTTGGCTTCTGCATGAATCTACTTATCATATCTACACTGTATGCTAAGTCAGGCCTTGTATGACAAAGGTATCTCAATGATCCAATAAGTCTTCTGTATTGGGTTGGATCAACATCATCTTCATCTGCATCTTTCGACAGTTGCAGTCTTGGTTCTGCAGGTGTCGAAGTTGAGTTGCATTCTTCCATCTCAAACCTCTTGAGAATTTCTCCTGCATATCTTCTTTGATGCATCATCAAACCTCTACTGCTTTTGTAGAATTCGATACCAAGGAAATATGAAATCTCACCCAAATCAGACATTTCGAATTCCTTGCTAAGATCAACTTTGAAGTCTTCGATCTCACTCTTGCAGCTACCTGTTATCAACAAATCATCTACATAGAGACATAGTATAAGCAATTTACTTTTGCTTCTTCTTACATATATTCCATGTTCAGTTATGCACTTCACAAATTCCTTCTCCCTTAGAAAACTATCAATTTTCTTATTCCAAGCCCTTGGAGCTTGTTTCAAACCATACAGGGCTTTATGTAGCCTGTACACCTTTCTTTCTTCGTCATGTTTCACAAACCCAACTGGTTGTTTAACATAAACTTCTTCATCTAAGGGTCCATTTAGGAATGCACACTTCACGTCCATCTGACATATGTGCCAACTGTTGATTTCTGCTAGACCAACAACCAACCTGATTGTTTCGATCCTAGCAACAGGTGCAAAAACTTCGTCGAAGTCTATTCCTTCTTTCTGTAGAAATTCTTTCGCCACAAGTCTTGCTTTGTGTCGAGTTACTTCACCTTTCGAATTCGTCTTCACTTTGTATACCCACTTGACACCAATTTCCTTCTTGCCTTGAGGCAATTCGACAAGTGACCAAGTGTTGTTGTCTTCGATAGACTTTACTTCTTCGTTCATTGCTTTCATCCACTTCGAATCCTTTAATGCTTCAGCTGCATTAACAGGTTCGACATCTGCATAGAAAGCATAATGTACCAGCTCACCTTCATCATCTATCACATCATCTGATGTAATCACACAATCTTGCAATCTTGCAGGCATGCGTCTTGTTCTTTGAGGTCTTCTTGTACTGGATATATCTGCTGGCTCCTCTTGTCGAACTTCTCTTTCGACTTGAGTTTCTGGCTCTTTGAATAAGATTCTCACTGAATCTTTCTTGACATTTGTAGTCCAATCCCATTCTTTGAACTCATCTATGATCACGTCCCTGCTGATCACAATCTTCTTGTTCTCTGGATCGAACAACTTGTAGCCTCCTGTCGAATGATATCCAACTAGGATCATTTGACATGACTTGTCATCAAGTTTCTTTCTCAACTGATCTGGCACATGTCTATGTGCAATAGATCCAAATACTTTCAGATGACTTAAGCTAGGCTTCACACCAGACCAACATTCTTCTGGAGTAATTCCTTCTAGCTTCTTTGTAGGACTTCTGTTCAAAATGTATGTTGCAGTCGAAACAGCTTCACCCCAGAACTCTTTGGGTAAATTCTTGCCTTTCAACATACTTCTCACCATGTTCATGATGGTTCGATTTTTCCTTTCTGCAATTCCATTTTGCTGTGGAGTATAGGGTGGCACCACCTCATGCACAATCCCTTCCTTTTCACATAATTTGTCGAAGTCTTTCGACACATATTCTCCTCCACCATCAGTTCTCAAAACTTTGAGTTTTCGACCACTTTGTCTTTCGACCATGGACTTGAACTTGGTGAATACTTCGAACACTTCACTTTTCTTCTTGATCAGGTAAGTCCATAGCTTTCGACTGAAATCATCTATGAATGTAACAAAGTATTTGTTACCTCCCATCGAATCCACCTGGATTGGTCCACATACATCAGAGTATATGACTTCGAGACTAGCCTTCGATCTGCTTCCTGCATCCTTGCTGAAGCTATTCTTGTGTTGCTTCGTCTGCACACATTCTTCACATACTTCGTTTGGAATATTAATTTCAGGCAATCCTGAAACCATATTTCTTCTCTTCAAATCTCTGATGTCTCTGAAGTTGAGATGACCAAGTCTATAATGCCATATCCATTCATCTCTGCTAGCTGCAGTCGAAAGGCACTTGTGCTCCATCACATTTAGTTCAATCTTGAAGGTTCGATTCTGAGACATAGGAGCCTTCAAGATTAATCTCCCATTTGCATCAACGACTCTCATCAACTTATCTTCGATTAACACTTTATAATTCTTTTCGACCAACTGCCCCATACTGAGCAAATTGCTCTTCATGCCTGGTATGTACAATACATTCGAAATTACTGACTTCTTGCCATCTTTCCTCATGATCATAACATCACCAATACCTTCAGCTGCTAGTGTGTTGTCATTTGCAAATTTTACCATATTCTTCATTGAGGGTTTTATATTGACGAACCAGTCTTTCCTTCCAGACATATGTGATGAACATCCTGAATCCAAGTACCATTGGTCCTTGAATCTATCTTCATCTCTTGTTGTGACCATCAGCGTCATCTCTTCTTCTTCTTCATGTTTTGCAAGCTTTGCATCACTTTCTTGATTCTTTCGTTTTTCTGGACAATCACTTGAATAGTGACCATACTTCTGACAATTGTAACATTGAATGTGACTCTTATCAGGTTTTCGACCACCACCTCTTCCTCTATTTGCAGCACCACCTCTTTGGTTGCCTTGGTGTGGTCTTCTTTGATTCGACACGTCTCCTTCGATTTGGTTTCCTCTACCATTCGATTTGTAGTAGCCACCTCTACTTCTGTCGAAATACTTTCTTTTGCCTTTGGTCTCTTTTGCTGAATGTGCCTGCAAGGCCACATCACTCTTCGATTTTCCTGCAGCCCTTTCGTTCATTCTTTGTTCATGAGATTCGAGCGTCCCTTGAAGCTCTTCCTTTGTCAATTTCGACAAGTCTTTCCCTTCTTCGATCGCCACCACTATGTGGTCGAACTTAGGAGCTAAGGATCTCAAGATCTTTGAAACAACAACTCTTGTTGTTAATGTTTCTCCACATGTCTTGATTTGATTCACTAGTTTTGTAACTCTAGTGAAGAAATCAGATATGTTTTCACTGTCTTCCATCTGAAGCAGTTCATAGGTCCTTTTGTGAGTTTGTAACCTCACTTCTTTCACCTTCTCAGCGCCTCCAAAAGACTTCTCAAGGATCTCCCAAGCTTCTTTTGCAGATTCTGAATCACCAATCTTCTCGAAATTGTCTGGGCTGACACATTGATGAATTATAAACAATGCTTTATAACTCTGCTTCTCAGATTCTGTATATTTCTTCTTTTCTTCTTCTGAAGCGTTTTCGCCAAGCGCTTCGACTCCATCTTTTACAAGGTCCCAAAGGCCTTGACACCTTAATAGGACTTTCATCTGCTTGCACCAATTCTCATAGTTGTCAACTTTCAGAATTGGCAGCGTTGCTGGATAGTTTGCATTCCCATAACTTGTCATCGTGAATTCTTCAATCGTTCTTGATTGATACTTTCCTTGAATCGTAACACAAGCTCTTGATACCAGATGTTGGAAATCCACCAATACTCTATGATGAATTTCGACCACCACTGATGATTAGTTATGAAACAAACTAAGAAAAGACAATAGAATTATTTCTGCAGAGTTTCTCTCTGCCCACAAACTGTGGAAACTTTATTAATTCACTTTGCAACTGCAAAATACTGTGAATGAGTTCAATGACTTGAATACAAAATAAGGGTTACTCCCTCTTATTTATAGATTTAGGTTAGCTTGCTCCCTAAGCTAAACCCAAGCCCAAAATATCTCTTTACTAAATCAAATCTAATCTAGATTTAAATTCAAATCTATTTAAATCTAAACAAATCAAATCTTATTTTGACACCTATGAATTACAATTTAACAATAGCGACCAGATACATTGTTTATTTAATAAATCTATAAAAAAATTTATTAAACTAAATGGAAAAAATATAATATTGTCAATGACCAAAAAAAAATATAAATAGAACCAATATAATTGAAATACGTAAGAACCAAAATCAATATATAGTAAAAAAAAAAATCAATATATAGTCTCCACCTATCATGTGATTAAACTAATATTAACATATAATTATTGGTAGTTTAACTCAAAAATAAAGAATTTAAAGCAAAATTATCCACAATGAGAGACTAAAATTGGAGAAAGCCAAACCGTAGAATTGGAGAAACGAGGATTAATAGCAGCCTTCCATCCTGCCCCTGGGTGTTCGTTAACTTCTCTAGCGATTGACTCCTGCATCATGATCGAAAACGTTAACAAGATTTATCAATTCAATCAATATTCAAATTCAATCTTCAAATATTCATAAAGTAGCAAATAAACTAGGGTAATCGTTAATTACCTGAAGAATATGAGAATTAAGCTTGAGTGCAGTGAGTTGATCTGTTTCCGCTTCACCGATCTAACAACAACAAAAAAGTTCAGAAAAAAAAAGCTTAAAAAAGTGATTATTTTAAGTAGAAATTAATCTGAAGAAGAAAAAGATACCCGGAGAAAAGAAGCGGAGAAAGCTAAAAATAAAGTTGCCAGGGGCAGAATTGTTGGAGCCATTTTAGATTAATGGAGTCGTGGATAGAATGGAAACTGGGAGCTTGTATTTATACTACATCAATTAATTAATCAATTGTTTAATTTAATTAATCACTTTTTTTTAGTTATAGGAAAGAGTAATTATCTTGGCATACGCAACTTGGGTGGGTGGTGCAGAACACACCTACTTGATAAATAAATAAATCGATTGATTATTCAGTAAATGTACGAAATTGAATTCCAAAGAAAGCAACATGTGAATTATCAATACAAAAAGAACCAATACATGACTGTATAAGTGGGTCCCACTGTTTTTAAAAAATATCTATTGTTTTTATTAGTCACCTATTCAATCAACCAACTATATTTTTCTCTGACATTTTTTAGATTTTTTAAAAACATAGTGTTAAATAATTGAGCCATGCGTCGAAAAGTCTACTGTGTGCCCAAAGTCATGGGATTTAGCTTGTGAAGTTGTGATACGATATGAGTCAGAAAAAAGGGACAAGAGGATAAAATTAAAAACTTCATTCATTCAAATTCCAAAAATAGATCGGGTTGCGATTTTTTTCCTTTTATATTTTCATAAGTATAATTCTTTAACTCCATTCCATGAAATAGCATGCATCATTATGCTATCTAAATCTCCATTGCCAGCTGCTTGATCCACACATTGCTCAATGAGTTGTTTTGTAATAAACAAGATAAACTTTTTTTATATATAAAAAACAAGACGACAATTATATTAAAGATTGAATATTAATGGTTTCAGGATATCTACAAAGTCCGATAAGATCTAATCGAATAGTGGTGTCATTTGTGGAAATGATTTTTGATTTCCGCTAATTTTTATAAAAAAATTATTGTTTCTCTACCAAAGATCCAAATCACTGGTTTTCTTTCTTGAAGTTCTATCTCCTCAACAGACAAATTTATTATCAGATTCATTGAGCATGGTGACGTCGAAAGTCACTCGATCTGCCATCCAACGACAAGTTAAAGCTGCCAAAGCTCCATCTGATCCTACACAATAAGATCTCGTTCCTCTAAGAGTTGGTCAATGAGAGTTCCAAGATCTCTCTTCTTCAGACCTATACAACAACCTTGTTAGGGCAAACCATCACATAATCCTCCTTCACAACTTGTTGTACCTAAACAAGAAATGCTTTCAGGACTTCATCTACTGCAAGCAAATCTTTGAGTACATGGAGCCACTGACTTATTGAACAACGTCTACAACCTAATACACCGATAAAACTCACAATTATTAGTTGATAGAATACTCACGATTGAAGTAAACCTTTAATACACTCTACCACGTGACAACATTGTACGAGAAGCAGCCTATCGGAGGGCAACCAAGCCGCCATACCAAAACGGATGCCCATTGGTAGAGTTGCACCACGGAGAAATGCCTTGAGATCACCAACTCACTACCAGAACTGAAGAAATAGAACTCCTTCGCCTAATTTCAAAGGAAGGATCGATAACCATAGTCTTCCCGAAGTTCACCTCCCTTATCGTTCACCGACACGTCATTCCCGGAGAAGGGGAAAACATAACACATATGCTCCAACTCTATAGAGAAAGAAGAAATTGTCGTATGTATGCATCCTCGACAACAGAATCCCGAGGTCTTTGGAGAAACCTTTAAATCAACATAGTTATGAATGAACTGGAGATCTGGACGAACATGTTGAACATGTAGATAACATGTTAAATTACTACCATGCTAAGGGATCGTGAAGTGCAAGCTTTTCACATTGACTCTCACTAGAGTCGTGATGTCATGGTTCAAAACCCTTTCTGACATAAGTATATGTTCGTGGAAGGATACTTGTGACTTTTGACTGCTCAATTTACATCCCAAAAATGATAACCGACAACCATGGTTGTACTCAGCGGGGTCACATGGAGAAAGAAGGAAACCTTGTGTGAGTATATTGATCGACTCATGAAAGTGGCATTGGCAGTAGGAGCGTGAATAACGGATTGAAATGATGGATGTTCAAGAAAGGGTTAAGGTCAGATTACATGTTTTAGGAAAATTTGTGGCTCAAAGAAGCCTGTAATTTAAGTGATTTGTTAAATAGAGAATAACCATATATCAATTACAAATAAGAACTCCTAACTAAAGAAGGAGAGAAATACTAAGGAGCAAGGAACTCCAGATATGATGAGGCGCCAAAAAGAGGCAAAAGTCATCATTGATAAGACGAGGATCGTAGACTCCAATCCAGGTTCTCAACCTACACTTATTTGAACATTTTGAGGGGGAACTCTGGATGGGGTGTGCTAATAAAGAGTTTAAGGAATTTTGGATTGAGAAGCTTTACCCGATAAGAGAATTGTACAGGAAGAATAAGCCAAAATATATTTTGTTTCAACAAAAGTCACAGTCACAACACCAGTGAGTGCGTCCATATGAAGGATGCAATAGAAGAGCTGATTAAAAGAGGGAGAACATATCAAGTATACTTGAGAAGATGGTAGTTATTATTACCGAGAGTATAAGAGATAACATAAGGACGCCAGAAGATTCGCCAAGGAAGAAATGGTCCTCTTTCTTGTTGAAACAAACTTTGGGCTTAAAACAACGCCACAACAAATAAAAACAATGGTAAGTAACATAAATTAAAATATACACCAGGTACAAACACCCTAAATATATATATAAAAAAATAGCAATGGACTATGAATTTGGCTCATTCACCATCTCATGATTAAGATTAACTTGTTGAAGGTTCAAAGAACACAAGAAAGAGGGGTTGAATTGAATTTTAAGATTTAAAGCTTCTCCGAACACCCAATTAAAAACAGCACAATAACAAAAAAAGAAAGATAAAGAACACAGAATTTTATCTCGGTTCATCATTAACTAGGCTACCTCCAGTCCACCCTACCCATGTGATTTTTCCTTATCAACAAATACTTAATCCACTAATCAAATAACCTTTGATTACAACCGCAATGACACACCAGTCAAAGACACTTCTCGAGGATCTGACTAAACCTTTAGTCCATAAATGAAATTTATCCAACCTGGTTAAGTTACAAGGTTTTGTATTTACAAAGTGCTTCTTAAAAAGTTGATACACACAATTTCAATACAACAAGATTTACAAAGAATAAAAGTTACGAAGCTTTCAAAATAATAATAGCTTTCTTCTTTGTGTTGATTCTGGACTTAGTGTTTCTCTCTTGTTTCGACTTTTTTCTTTTTGTATATGAGTTCGTTGTTCTTCTTTTAGTAGTTATTTTCTATAACTTATAACACTCATGTATATAGATGAAATAGATCTGCTAGAGGGTGAAATTGGGATTTCATAATTCACAGCTTACATGAAAACATTTAGTAGTACAGTGGTAGAGTGACAGTAGCAGCATAGTGGAAGGTGAGGATATGAAGTATTGAAAAATTGGTATTGCCAAACAGTTTTTTTGTCATATCTCAGAGGGTGGTGAAAATGATGTTGATTTGTACTATTTTAGTATTTTTCACGTTATCTCCCTTTTAGTAATCTTTTTGAGTCATAGACTTCTGATAGAATATGGTGAAGCTTGATCAGAGTACAAAGTTACTATCTTTATTCACATCTAACTACTTGAGTTAGAGACTTATGATAGAATTAGATGAAACTTCATCAGAGTAAGTCTTCAATGCTTTGAGAAACACCGAGTCTTCAAATTATTGAGTTATCAGAGTCAATCTGGATAAAGTTATTTCAATTGTTGACTTGATACTTGTAGAAGCAGTTAGTTCGTTGTAAACACTTCTTTATATTCTTCATTGGTTCAGAGTGCGTTTTGATTTCCCTGTGTCCAGTGTTGCTTGTTTATAGTCCATAGCTTCCTTTGTCCAAAGTCCACAACTTGCATGCTCAGAGTCCAAAATCTATGAATAAAATCTGCACACTTTAACAAACTGTTAGAGTACAAAATAATTCTCTATAGTAGTGTACCTGTTATCATCAAAACTTCAAGGATTAGTTGTCGAACCAAACTTGTGAAGGTTCAATGAAACACACGAAAGTGAGAGTTTGAATAGGATTTCAAGAAATTAAATCTTTTCGACCACCCTAAGATAAAACAATACTTAAGCGCAAAGTAAACGACAATAAAAAGACACTGGTAATTTTATCATGGTTCACCTTAAACTCAGTTAGTCCATTCCATCCATCCAGGATGATTTTGCCTTATCCATAAGGACTTAATTCACTACTCAAATAAATCTTTGATTACAAACTCAATGACAAATTATTATTGACATCTCAAGAAATTTTACCAACTGATCTCTTGAGGAAATCACCTCAATGACAAACCGTCATTGGCATCTCAAAGATCTTAACTAAACTTTTAGTCCCCCCCAAGGAAATCAACCTCAATAGCCATTGTTGTTGACATCTCAAGGATTCTGACCAAACCTGGTCCCTCAAGGCAATTAACCTAGCAAGATTAAAATTATAAGGTTTTGTGTATACAATGTTGCTTCTTCATAAAGCTAATTAAATGGATTTTTAGGCATAAATGATTACACTTTAAGAGATATGAAATAGATGCTTTTGAGAGTTTCTCTTTGTTATCTATGAAAATCTTAATTGTACCATATTGTATTTCATCTTTTTTGATTCAAATGAATCTTCATTGTTGAACGTCATTGATCTTCTTTAAGTCTTATTCTCTGTTGCATATAAGTGATTTCTTCATAATCATATTTATATTTGCATTCTTCACTAACAGTCTTCTTCTTATTGGCTTATTGTTGCTCTTGAGATTTTACACAAATTTTTCGTTTTATGTGTGCTTCTTATACTAAGCAGCTTCATTGTCTTTGTTTTGCCATGTTCTCCTCTCTCGTGAGTATGTATGGTCTACATTGTTGTTGTTCACTTTTTTCTACAGTTTCAATCTTATAATTTCTCTTTAAATAGATAAAAAAAAATAGATTAGTTGGAGAAAGAGGGATTGAGTATCCACACAACAGATAGTTGTTAGGAGATGTTAGCTAGAAAGAGAATAGAGTAGTTGTAGCAGCATTAGGATAAGACGTGTGAATAGTAACATGATAATGAATAATCCTTTATTTGATTTGTAAAGAAGTTGATGGGATGTTGTACTGTAGTCACGTGATGATGTACTTTAATAATATTTCCACATTTCTTCCTATTACAACTAACATCATGAGTCATAGGCTTCTGATAACGTTTGGTGAAGCTTGACCAGAGGTCAAGTTTCCTTCTTCAGAGCTTGAGATATTAGAGTCGCGGAAAAATAGAATCCATTCGGATACCTTATGAATAGAGTTTTATAGATGCATTGAAAATATGAAGGGTGCTAGATATACTTTGAGAGTGGTAAGTTAAATCCTCTTATTGTTTTGATAAGGTGATGACTTTGAATCTTTAATGGTGTCTAATAGATATCGGACCTAAGACCCATTTCATTTTTTACTTGAGAGATGTAAGAATACACACATATTGACACTTGGTTAATCAATGCACTGTCATTTAAGAAACGTTAATAATGTAAAAAGTTATTTTGCTTAATCAAATTATATGGATTACTCTATAAAGGTGAATCTATATGGCATCATGACTAAGAAAATTCAAGCATTTCTTCGGGGCCTATGACATGCTTATGTTTATGTTGCAAACAAAATTGAGCAATCCACACCAAAGCTTTCTTTTGTCAAAAATAAAAATACAAGTTAATTGAGGATATCATCTAGCAAGTCACTAATAGGCACATGAAGAAACAGAAACTTTTATATAATCCAACAGCTAAAAGCTGATCACACATGGAAAGAGAAAAGAACCACCTAAAGATAACTGAGGACATCCAGATAACATGACCAATCAACTTAAATATCAATATTATTAGGCATTGTCGGTTGCGTGTAAACCACCACACATATCTAGAAAACTATAACAATCCTATTGAAAGTTTACAAAAGGTTGAAATCTTTGGACATGAGTTTAGTTCATCTAAACATTCCCGGTGATAAACCGATTCGGCAAACATTCTATTTTTTTTACTGTCATGACTTGTAAAAGTCGAGCATTCTGTAAAACATATTTTGCAAATTGATGTGAATCCGCCATGCCTTCATAGGTTAAGGTGCAAGATCTGAGGTAAGATGAAATGCATTAAGGAACAGAATCTGGACATTTCCAGATTGTGTAAGATCTGCGGCTGACTTTCAATGTCCAATCACATTCGCGAACTAAGTTTTGAACGTAGTTGGGGAGAATCTATTTCCAGAAAAATAATGACAAAATATAACAATAGATGAAAATTAAGATGAGTTAGTTCAAATATATAGAAAAAGAGGAAATATGATACAAACATTGAAGTTTTATTATTCTAATTATATTAAAGGGTGGGTGTACATTTGCATACCACAAGTGTCCCTGCTAAAAATATATGTAAATAACAAGATTTATAGAATACACTAAAAAAACACAATATATAATAAATGGGACAAACCTCATCAATTAAAAGAATTTTAAGGTTGGGACAAGTCTGGAGCACGTCCATTAAGTCACACAGCCATAAAAGTAAGCAAATATTAATTCAACTGCAAATTTTCCAAAACAAAAAACAAGATAAGAAAATAAATGAAATGAGATAAGGGGTAAGGATTAAAGAAGTGATATCGTATTTGTACCCAGAGAAATTGAAAGTTATAATATAATGCTTTAAATAAAACATGATATAGACTCTTACCCACTCGTGTGTGAGTGCGATACTTGCACTTTCTTTGTACCCAACCATAACATACAAATCTTCAAGAACCAATGATTTAGATAGCAACTTCTCAAGATCCTCTGAATTTTGTAAATAAACACTTTTCAAATGAAGGGTTTTAAGCGAGGGAAGAAAAATATTGCCCGTCACACATAACCTCTCGAGTTTGAGAATCACAAGGGTTCGACAGCTAAAAATGTTGTTGGGTGCTGCTACGGAGATAAAGTTATCCACCAAGGAATTGGAACTTGACATGTACGTTTCGAATGCAGTATAGAAATGAAACATGGAGAGTTGGAGATCCTCGACGCCACGCAGTTTTGCAGCTTCAATCCATTCATCATAGTTGAAAAGTGATAATTCAGAATGACAACAGTCAAGGTGAAAGGCTCTAATAGGTTGGTTATTCATGTCTGGAGATAGCATGACTTTGTCAACCCAGCGACGGAAGCATTGGAAATCCTCTTCTCCTTTCACGAATTTATCATCAAAATGAAGATCCACCATGAATTCGCATAGTGGTTTCCACCTCTTGGAAAGAAGACTGGTGGTGTAAGCGGAATTAGGAGGATGAAAGGAGAGTATGTGACTCAGCAACTCATCTGGTAACTCACTAATGTCTACCATATCTTTGAACTTTGTATCCTTTGCCATAAACTTTCTCTAAATCTTTCAGTAAATGAATTCAAACAATTAATCACTGACTAACTAGTTGCCAAATAATAACACAACAGTTCACATAAACATGAAGGTGATAGAGAGTGAAGATGAGAAAGATGTTACCGGATTTTCAAACTGCCCGTTGGACCACCGCGTCGTCAAATCGTAGTGTGGACTCACTGTTAGGGTTTTTGTTTTGTAGCACGGTCTGTCTTTTGTTTTCGCTTGAGGTTCTCCAAATAAATATAGGAAAAACACTTGTTTTTGGAGATTACTAATTCTTTGAGTCGGCTTGGGATGTTCTTCTAATGACTACTAATTCTTTCATTTTATGTTGATTATTATTTTGTTGTCTAATTATTTTAAAGATTAGAATTTAAATAGATTAATTATAATATTATGATTTTAATAGTTCACTAGAGTTATATCTTTAATAGGTTTTTGAATAAAAATGTGTAACTTACGTATCTGTAAAATATCAATTGTTTCTGGTGTTAGGAAATCAAAAGTGTCAAAGACAAATTGGTATAAAAATATGTTGATTTTTAGAACACGCTTTCTCATATTTGACCACTTTGCTGGAAGCAGCTTTGAGAGCTTCTTGTTCCACAGTAAAACCACCATCCCTCAAACCCATAAGTAGAGAAACTTCCGTCAAGTCCACAAAAGTATGTTTTCCTCCTACCCACTCGTACACCAAAATATTTGTTGGCCTAAGTTTCAATCTCCCCTCAAGTGGGTCCGTCAAAAAATTCATCGGCGTCTCTTTCTTCACAGATACTCCAGCACGTCGAAATATATCAAACAAGATATCCCTAATAAGGTCATGTGCGGCTTACAAACAACCAAAAATTGTCTTCTACCTCGTGGTCATGACATACTTCACATCCATGTCCTTAACAAACTAAAAAGGGCACTCGCCAAAACTGTTATGCTTTGGGAGGGACGGTGTCCTTACTAGTAAAATTACTAAGGTCAAAATCTAGAATCGCAACATTAAGACAATCCAATGCTCTGTCAAAATCCAAGTCCATACCATACACTCCATTGTGTCTCAATATATGATCCTACAAAACCGAAGATTGGGTCCTAGAAGCCATAAATACGTATGAGGAATGTTCTGGACTGGGCCTGCCCGTGGCCCAATCACCAGCGAGGCCTAATCCAAGCTTTACAACATACCATGTTGAGCATTAGACTCCCCGGCACACCCCGATCATGGGTGATTGTCGAATTAGATTGTGCCCGCCAGTGACCGCGAAGAGCGTCCCCGACGAGGGACGTCCTAGACGAGGAACATCCCAATCCAAGCCCTACTCGAGCACCCTCCTCGTAGGGCAGACTCTCAACCTCTCTGAATAACTCAGAGTCCTCAGGGTCCTGGGAAGATCGCGTCTTCACCCTCCCTATTCTGCGGAGAGCATCATCCAGGTAGGGGACCACGTGTAGGTCCCCACTACTCCACGTAGAACCTGGCAGTCCCTTTGTTGGGCCTGTTTGGTCAGCCCAGTAAAGGGACCTTGGCCCAGCGCTGGGGGCTATAAATACCCTCTATTTCAAGAGGGTCAGGTATTCATTTCATACGCACCAATATACTTGCTTGCCTGCTCATTCCGTCTCTCACTTTGTCATCAGAGTGTCTTGCAGGTACCCTCCCCCCCCCCATCTCTTTCAAATTCAATTCGAAGCCAGCTGTGACGGTCCAATTCTGATCAGGTACGATCAGTAGTGTCGTCTGTGGGAATCTAAGCTTCCCCGTCTTATTCACTTAAAAAGACCAAAGATAAAACCATCCTCGACTGTCATGGTTGACTAGACTCAGGACAACCAGAATGTCCGCGCCGTTGAAGCTAACAACAACATCACCGACAAAAATGGCGGCCCAGACAACGCTGGCATCACCGGCCATAACATACTCCCCGGAGGCATCGTCCCCGGGCCCTCTAACTACCGGGATGGAGCCATGGCTTCATCTTCATCAGTCTCGCCTCGGCTTGAAAAGGATCCAACCGTCCAATTCCACGAGGTCCCTGTCCCCGCCGGGGCAGACGCCACGACCAGGGCACTATTCGCGGCAATTAACCAGACGAACGATCTCATCTTTGCCCAGGGGGAAATATTGAGAGCACTTGAAGACGACCGAAGGCCCCCTAGAATACACAGGAGGCCTCAATCCCCTCCTCCTCGAAGAACAGGGGAATGTACCCGATCTCCCCCGCAGAGACAAGATCGGGACTTCTCTCGAAGCCCGTCGCCCTGACCAGTCGGGCGGCGACCCCGCTTGGAGAGGGAACCAATCATTGAAGCAGAAAGGCTCGACCACGGTCCCTCACGGAAATAATGAAGACCTCCCGGGGACAGACACAGAGGAATCTATCAACAGTCACATCGCTCGAGAAACGTCCCGCACGACCAGGGCCATCGTGACCGACAATACATCAGATCCTCGTCCCGTTCCCCAGAATAAAGTGACAAGGACGACCCCCGCGGTCCCTTGTCACAAGCTATCATGGAGGCGCCCATTCCCCCGGGCATGGAGAAGTCTCCCCACTTAAAAGAATATGACGACGTCACCGACCCGGTCGACCACATAGATGGGTTCGAGGCCATGCTGCACTACCACAACGTTGGGGGACTAATCAAATGCCGATTGTTCCCCACGACTCTGAGGAAAGCATGTTGGATTAAAATATCCAGCGTCAACCTTAGTGATTCGAAGGGCTTAACATCCCCCATGGGCGCCTACACAAGTGTGTTAGGTGGGCCAGGTAGGCCCCTTGTTGGATTCGCTATAAGGAAATAGAGTAGCACCTTGACTACAAGCAATTGCTTTTAGCACAGTGGTAGGCGCTTGATCCAGTTTATGTGGTATCAGAGCAAGGTCATGGGTTTGAATCCCCCCGTCTGACATTGGATCAAGCGCCTACCACTGCGCTAAAAGCAATTGCTTGTAGCCAAGGTGCTACTCTATTTCCTTATAGCGAATCCAACAAGGGGCCTACCTGGCCCACCTAACACACCTGTGTAGGCGCCCATGGGGGGATGTTAAGCCCTTTGAATCCCTAAGGTTGACGCTGGATATTTTAATCCAACAATCTCCCCCCCAGTGTCAGCCGGGGGGATTCGAACCCATGACCTTGCTCTGATACCAATTGAAGATGTGAAAAACACAAGAAGGGGGGTTGAATTGTAAATCTTAAAACGAAAGCTTAGACAACACTATATTTTTATCCTGGTTCGTTTGATCTCAAACTACTCCAGTCCACCCATCAAGGTGATTTCGCCTCTCTCCAACGAGGTCTTAATCCACTATATTCAAAGGGATACAACAACCACTTTTACAACTGTTAAAGCCTTCTTGAGTATAACCACAAACCGGTTTATCTCAAGGGAATTTCTTTACAAATAATTGAACAATGATATGTGTTAATGTTTTCTAACAAAACTATATATCACAACTGTGATAATACACAAATTTAAGCTTAGAATAAAACTGGATTGCTAATGCGTTTGAGTAGGCGTGATTTGAAAGCTTAGCAAATTGTATGAGTGCGTGAAGATTAACTTTTTCTTTTCTCACACAGACTTGTTTAAATAGCCAAGGCAAAGATACGTTGTTGTCCATAAATCACTTTCAATGATAATAACGTTCTTTCCTTTTTGGGAAGATCTTGTCTTGAATAAAGCCGTTGGTAATTAATATGTCTTGAATGCTTAGTAACGCTTCAGAGTGTTCTCTGTTTTATGGTAATCAGAGTGTTCTTTGCTTTATGTTGACGCTTCTGAGTGCTGATGACTTGGTTAGGATCTTGATCAGATTCAGAGTGTTTTATGCGCAGATTCTGTTCATCAAGCTTCAGCGTATGATCTGGTAGCTTCAGCGTGTAGCACATGTTATTGATCTTCTGATGCTGATTCCATCAGAACTTCTGTAAACACAAACCATAATTTTAAGTAGAATATATGTCTTATATATAAATCTTACAATTTATTTATTCTTGTATTTTGTTATCATCAAAACTCTAATTAAGGGTTGTAGAATCAAACTATGTTCTAACAATCTCCCCCTTTTTGATGATGACAAAAACCAGATTTTTTTCAATTAAAAATAAAGAATAAAAGGTATGATATGCTGATAAATGAAAGAATGGATAAGCAGGACATCAAAATTGATGCAATAGCGAACATGTTAACTCAGCAATAGGAAACCAGCACCCAAATCAAGAGCATGTTGGAAGCTCTGTTCACACGTCTTCCACCTCCCTCTTAGAATTTCCTTGTTTACTTTTAACATGTTTGTCTGTAATATTTTTACATTGTTCTGAACTTATCATTGCTTCTGTTTTTAATATAAACGCATTTTAGCTCTGATCATTTTATCTCTGATTATTTGTGCTTTTTGATAACTGACAAAAAGTGGGAGAAAGAATGATATTTTTCAATAACGGATTACTGAGACATAAGTCTCAAACATTCTGATCTATTTAAATTTCTCTCTTCTGAAAAGCTTACAGGTACAAAACTCTGATGAATCTGATAAACCTGGTGAACTCTGATACAGTAAAGTTCTGATGCTCAAAGACTCATGGAATTAAAGGGAAGTAATCAACTCAGGGGGAGTTTTCTCTTCTTATCTCTGATACCACATAAACTGGATCAAGCGCCTACCACTGCGCTAAAAGCAATTGCTTGTAGTCAAGGTGCTACTCTATTTCCTTATAGCGAATCCAACAAGGGGCCTACCTGGCCCACCTAACACACCTGTGTAGGCGCCCATGGGGGGATGTTAAGCCCTTCGAATCCCTAAGGTTGACGCTCGATATTTTAATCCAACAAAGCAGCCATGGACTGGTACAAGGGTCTCGCCCCAGGGTCAATTACCTCGTGGCGAAACTTGAAAAACCAATTCATCAGCTCGTTCATTGTGTCGTGGTGACATCCGAAGACCGAAGCGACACTCAAGGCCATCGTCCAGAAGCACGATAAGACCTTGA